CACTGTTGTTTACTTACATGTATGACGTAAAGAACCGTAATGATCAAGATTATTTGCCTTTTATGTAATTAGAAAAAAAAGATTATAAACATCAGTTTGTGATAAAAAATAAATATATATTAGATGTTACTATAAATAACACATTATAAGTAAATTGGTTTATTTTTTCAGAAAAGGCCATCGACTCATAGGTGTAAGATATCAATATCTGTATAACGTATTTATATTTCATAGTTTTACTATTTATGTGTACAGAGTAAGTTGCAAACTAGAAATATAATCCCATTTTAGTTTTATAACCCTTGTCTGAGATTATTACACATCCTATTCAGCAATATGAAACTCATGCTTGCAAGCTATGAGATGGCACACTTTAAAAATTCAGTTAATTTGAAAAATCATGTAGAAACCAGTGCGTTGAAAAACAGCAATACCTGCATGCGATGAAACCGTGCTGGTTTAATCTAGTATTTCCAGGTGTTTCCTGTGGTGTTCTCCACAGAATCCTTTCTGAGATTTTTTTCAGGAAGTGTTTCCATTTCAGTTGACATTCTGGTTTAGTCTTTAACAAAAGATAAAAATTAGTTAGTAAATATATAGAATGACTGGCATTAAAACTAGTCGTGACGTGTGTGAACTATTTGAGATTATTATACAAATAACGTAAACATATCACAAATAACTCATGGCAGTTAGTAATTTATTAATTATTTGTTGGTGTATAATCAGACTGAAGTTAAGTCATTTAAGCTCATACGTCTCAATTAGAAACGTATCATTTTTTTTTTAAAACACTAAGAAACAATTTTTGGGGGATGTATGATAGTCTGAATGGGAGTCCTTCAATTCTGTATTCTTTAATTTTTTAGGCCATTCTTCTCTATTCTTTATAATTTTTGCCCATTATTCTCTATTCTCTATATTTTAGCAACCTATTGTTCTCTATTCTTTATTTTTTTTAAACTATTTTTCTTAATTTTTTATTTTTTGGTACATTTTTCTGTAGTGTTGACCCAATATTCTATATCTGTAAATCCCATTCAGACCCTCATGTATCTTGTCTTATTATTACATTTTATATCATATATATACTTAAATATTCTTCAATCTTTGTCTAAGCGTTCATTAACAATTGCTTCCACTCATAGAAATGTATGCTATGAAAATCTTAATATATCAATTGAAAAATTGAAATATCATTCCAAAAATACCTACAAAGAAGAAAAAAATATAAATGCAAAAGACTTTGAATAGGCTGATGTTATCAAACCCATATTAATTTGTGTTGTGTTGTTGTTCTTTGTCTCAACGACACATTGAGGTCTACATATAGACTATATATAGGAGATGAACAATTTCTACTCCAAATGTTGCACTCGTCATGTTGCTCGTGAAAGATAAAAACCCAGGGATGAAAAATTGCTTCTCCACAAATGTTACATTCGTAATGTTGCTCCAGAAAGATGAAAATCCGGGGATGAACAATTGCTTCCTCCACATATGTTGCACCTGTCATGTTGCTCATGAAAGGTAAATATCCAGTGATAAGTCGAATTCGGTGTTGTCATTAACAAGGAAAGGAGGACAGAATCATGGCTCCGACAAATAAATCATAACTGTGGTAAGTTGTGACACAGATTTTCCACAACAGCTAACTTAATCATGATGGCGTCTATCAAACTGCCAAAGTGATACCCGATGACTTAAACTTCAGCATTCAACAGCCTTGGTTCAATATCTTCCCGGTGAGCAGTGATCCTCAATGAAAAAGTTCGTGATTGGAACCGCAAGTATCGAAAGCTCAAATATTACTCAATATGCAGGTGCTGCTGGAATGTTGCTACATGTACATAAAAATTAGTCATCTCTTCTGTCGTAAAGGAAAAACCCTCAATGTAATAAACTTTTCAAAGCAATATTACAAAAATAACACAAATCTGGATAATGAAGTCATTTAAATTTCAACGTTTTATGTTTATATTGTTTTGCTTATTTTGCTGTTTTTTTTGTTTTTTTTTTTATCTCTGATCAAATTCACCATTGATACATAATAACAGTTTTGTTCAGTATGATGGTGAAAATGCTTTATTATTTTTTCATTATTCGCTTTCATATGATTTTGAATGCAATTTTTCTGTAAGAAGGTTTAATTTTCAAAAGCTATGTATTTAGCGCTGAATTACGTTCATTTCAATAAATACATCAATTGTCACAAATCCTGTAAAAGTTATAAGTTATTTATTGCAAGAATTTCTCACGTTTCAGTAAATACTGTCTTTTCTAGGAACCTTGAATTATACAGATTGTCAAATTTCCTGACAGAAGAAATCATAACACATTTTATATTAATTATAGCAGCCTTCTGGCTAGGTTCAAAAGTTCGATTTCATTTTTACATCTGTAATCATAGGATATGTTTTCCAAGAAAACTTAATTTCTTTTTTATCAGCTTTTCTCTATTACAAGGGAAAATGAATATGACATATTAATGTTGAATATGAAGATGAATTATAATCGGCAGGAATCATTGTTATTAGAGGAAAACATACATAAATAAAAGCCAAAGGAGTATTCAACACAAGGAAGATATTCATAAAGCATTGTATGTTATACCAAGTATTTAACCTTATAATGTGTCAAACCAAACTGAAATGTGAGTTCATTTTATTGTTTATACTTCAAGTTACCAAAATATAGACGACAGAACGCTCGAAATTGCCATGACATAATTTGATACATATTTACAGAAACGGAACGGGTCTGGTAGGACATGATTTATTTGTAAGTTGGTATTGCCTTTTGCTGGATTTCAGTGAATGAGGGTGCACTTGGATCGGTAAATTGTGTCTTTTGACTTTGAGTTAGTCGGGTTTTTTTTGTGTTCCGTCTGATCTGGTAAGGCAATTCGCTACCTATTGGTTTTCACAGTTTGTCCAAGTATTGTGTTGTTGCATCGCAGTCCCAAGAAGGGTTGGGCTTTCGCAGTTATGTTTGGCTCGTCGCGTTCTGTGCCTAGCCCAGGTCGGAAGTTTCAGTAGTTGTCGTTGGATGCAGTCTGTTTTTTCTTTTTGTATTTTTTGTTCATTGCTTTGTCATCAATCAGGCCTTTCTTTTTTGCTAAATAGTTTCACATTTTGTCATGACGGGGCCTTCTATAGCTGACTATACGGTATGGGTTTTGCTTATCGTTGAAGCCATACGGTGATTTCAAGTTGTATGAATCCACGTCATTTGGACTCTGTTGGATAGTTGTCACTTTGGCAATCATACCACATCTTCTTCTGTTATTCTGTTACCTGCACCAAATCAACCCAAATTAAAGAGGAAGAAATAATGTTGAGACCGCTGTCATCCTTTCCCGAACGACGACAAAAAATCAAAGCACGAAAGTGCTGTAAAGGCAGTTAATTACAGGTTGTGTGTATTTTAAGTCCAGTTATATCATTATCTTGCATAGTACAGTGTACTTATCAGAGGTGGCTTTCAGTATTTAAGATTTAGAGTTCTCTAATGATATTGAATAAGTTTTATGAATGTCATATTCTGAGCACTATATGAAGGCGATTGTTCTCACTTGTTTATGAACTAGTGCATTATGTCCAGTTTGTACCTTTTTTATCTATGTTTATAGTCAAATTAGTTATCAAAGGTACCAGGATTATAATTTAATACGCCGGACGTGTGTTTCGTCTACATAAGACTCATCAGTGACGTTCAGATCAAAATAGTAACAAAGCCAAACAAGTACAAAGTTGAAGAGCATCGAGGACCCAAAATTCCAAAAAGTTGTGCCAAATACGGCTAAGGAAATCTATTCCTTGGATAAGAAAATCCTTAGTTTTTTCATTGGCAATCATAGCACATCTCCTTATTTATATAATGATCTATATTCAACGACCTCAGGTACAAAAAAAATGTATGTAACTAAACTATGATGGGAAACCTTTGACTTCTTTCTTTATATAAACTTTTGATTTGGTACCATAGAACTATGTAGAGTAAATGTACATTGCAACATGTCAACTCTTTCAACTCCAAGCAAAATTATATTTCCAAGCATAAAGTAATTTATGAATGAAATAAAATGCTCTGCTGGGGCGCAGCTTGATACGACCGCAGAGGTCGAACCCTGTACAGTTGGGGCAAGTATGAACACAACATTCAAGCTTGATTCAGCACTGAATTTGGATTGTAATTAAATATTTGACACAGCATAGGTTTCTGACACAGAATGAAAGTGGTCTAAGATACTTAAAAAAATTTAATTTACCTATTCAAACCATATCATTATTATTTGCTTTTATATATAAATCAGAAATAACCAATTTAAAATGGAAAATTTTAAAGAAAAAAAAGGAAAAGAATCCCCCCCAAATTTTTTGAACCCCCTTATGATTCATCACCCCAAAACTCAATCCCAGCCTTCCCTTTGTGGTATGGTACCTTGCAGTACAATTTCAGAGAGATCCATACACTTGAACACATGTTATTGTCTGGAAACTAGAAAAATGCTTGTTTTTTTGGCCCCTTTTTGGTCCCAAATTCCTAAACGTTTAGGGCAATTACCCCCAAACTCAAACCTAGCTTTCCCTTTGTGATATGGAACCTTGTAGTACAATTTCATAAAGATCCATACACTTACACACAAGTTATTGCCATGAAACTAGAAAAATGCTTGTTTTTTGCCCCTTTTTGGCCCCTAATTCCTAAAATTTGGAGGCAATTACCCCCAAAATCAATCCCAGCATTCCCTTTGTGATATGGAACCATGTGATACAATGTCAGAGAGATCCATAGACTTACACACAAGTTATTGTCATGAAACTAGAAAAATGCTTGATTTTTGCCCCTTTTTGGCCCCTAATTCCTAAAATTTGGAGGCAATTACCCCCAAAATCAATCCCAGCACTCACTGAATATCATACCACATCTCCTTATTTTTATATGCATTACAATTTACATGTGCATGTAATTGTAAATATATATATATCAGAACAAAATTCATTGCGTCACTTTTATTTATGCATCCTTTGGCACAATACAAGTTCTAAAATTACACAACATACAACAACTAAATGTTATTTCAGATGAAAGTTTTGTTTCAGTTTCATTCATAGGATTTATTAGAATTTTGTATGTTTTGCCAAGTCCAATAATTCGCTCTATGTGACATAGAGACATAGTTGACTAAACCACCAGGTGTCGAACATTCAAGAATTTTCAGTGTTTCTGTTTTTATTTGATGAAAAGGTTGCCTGAGCTCTAGGAGCTTTAGGTTTTATCACGGGATATTCTGTGCTGTCAATAATAATCCAAGTCGTAGGAAACTTTAATTTGAAGTTGGATGGTGAAAAATACCTGACTAAACCACTAGATGGCCAAGTGTTAGCCTCACACCACTGTTTAGACATAAAAATAATCCATGTATACACAATATTCTTAACACTAGATTCAATCTAGAATCTAGACAGTTCAAAGTTGGTTGTATGATGCCTCAATTTCATCAAAGTCATAAAAAAACTGATTTTCAACTGACACCCTATCAATTTGAAAATATATGTATCTCAAACAATGTGCTGCTGGACCAAGTGTGGTCAAAACAAATAAAAATTTAGTATACAACTCTAAACGGGTATGAAAATGCATGGCTGTGTCACGTGTCTTCATTTCAAAATTCTCTGCTGAAAATATAGGCATTGATGGTGTTTGCGTAATTCCATCTGTGAAGCTCAACATTAGCTCGGCAGTTGGTGGTGGACAGTCATAAATCCTTTCTGCAGTATGAATGACTTCTTCAGGAAAACCAACTTTACAATCAAAACTTTCCTCTAGATTTCTACTACAATATTCATCAAGTTTAGTTCTTTTGTTTTCACAGGAAACTGCCCTGATTTTTCTTTTTGCGGACGATTCAGTCTCTTGCTTGGTCCAGGAAAATAGGCTGGGAATTGCAGTAGACTTAAGTCTTTGTATGGTGGGTTTGCGCCCTGAAAAAGGTTATAAAACATTAGATTTTTTATAATTAAATGAACTTCCATTAGCAATGTATACTTTGTACTACCTGGCGAAATATTAACTAGATTTATTCATTACAATCTGGATAAAACTATGTTTGCCTGATTCAATGTATGTTATGTAAATCCAAAGGACAAACAATGAGAGACTTATGCAACAAACGTACATTGTTTGTACCTAAATAACTATATATAGATGAGAGCATGTCATTGTTTTGTTCCTGTTAACATTGTCATTGATATTTTTCAAGAAAGTCTATGAGGCATAGCTTATGCATTCCTGTCATTACTACATTAGCATAATTACTGCTAAAATAATTCTCAGTATGATATACCTCTTGTAAGAAATCATTATAATTGTAGCAATCACCAAAAAATCTCAAACAGATCACATTGAATCGTAATCCAAAAAATTATGACGTCTTGAATTACCCACCCCCTTTTATTCTAAAACGATAATTGCGGTTGTAAACAGACTTTGGTTTATTCGCATGGAGATTACATATATAACTATATATTTCACAAAGAAAATAGAGTTTTACCATGAATAGTTTCCTGCACGTAGTCTTTTTCAGTAAAACGTGCCTTGCAAACAACAGCTGATGGACTCCACGATATCATCGTGTTCTCGTCCAATCTGCGTATGGGCCATGGCGTTGATCCAACTTTTCCTTCTTTTTAAGTCATTTGGAAATGCATGTCCTCCTCTTAAATGACATCCAGGTACACAACAACAAGTACTTGGCATCGTTAATTAAAAAATATAACTGAAATAGTTGCACAGTGCAGAAACCGGAAGAAGAGGAACAGGATCCGCTACCACGGCGCCACCTATTCAGGAACGATAATTTGCTACTTTATATAACTGCGAAAATAACGTTAGACGGGTTCACGTGCATAAACAGAAATGCGCTTTAAATTGTATAATATAATTCATGTTCAGTCGACCTTTAATTATTATATCAACGACTGAAATGATTTATAAACATCTAGATTGCAGATAACACTCGAAATTAACCCGAGCTCTTTCCACACGGAATTCAAATAATTCTAGTTTGTCAATCGGTTGACTGCTTATAATGCAAAATACTAATATATCAAAAGTTTTTAAAACTAACAAAACACAATGATCGTTTCTCTATTTCCCAATGTAAATGAAATGAAACAAAAAACATTTTATATCGCAATAAGAAGAGGAGAGAATTCAAAATTTCCGGATCTACTTGGAGTCTAATGACCCCCCACGTAGATAAGTTGGATATCGCGGAAGGAAGGATTAACCCGGCAACTAGAAAGGCATTAAAGCACTGCCTTTAAAAACCGTAAAAAAAATGAATAAAGGTAATTTTGGTTAAAAGTATATGAGACAGAAACCCATTAACAAAGACATCTAGAGGGCAGTACCCAGCCTTCAATGAATATATCCGTAAAATATACCAAGCTCTAATAGGTCTTTGTTTCTTAGTCTTTTTAATACACACACCTTGCAATGTACAAATATTTGAAAATGCCCTTATTTTACTTAGAAACACTGGCATTATTTATCCAGCTAAACTCTTCATAACCCTTTGTGTGAGAAAGTAAATAGGTCAAGAGTTTGATCTAAGGACTAATTATTTCTCGCAAGGAACACAATTATTATATGACAGGACGACAGATCAAATTCATGTAATACAGAAGAAGTAATCATTGCATGCCGTGTTGATATGTTCAGGAGTCGCTGACAATTATTAGCTTCATTAGAATAGTTGTATATTTTTGAAAAGCAACAGATCTGTTTAAACATGAGAATTTTACTTTATATTTTAAGGATCTTTGATTGAATTACTTGACGTCTTTCGAACATCCTTTTGAATGTTGTATTGCTGTTTAGGAAATGATGCACCGAACAAAAGAACCTCGGAAATTTGAAAATGTAATATATATTTTTATAGAATTGTAAAAAAAAATTCTGCTTTAATGATTATTACATAAATCATTTTGAATTTGAAAATATATATATATATATTTTTTTTTAAAGAATTGTAAAATATTAATTTTTTTTATGAACATTACAAAAATCATCTTGATTTCAAGTGTCTATCGATTATAGTTCTACTGTATTCTACTGTACAGTGAGACTGAACTGAAAAATAAAACGAAAAAAGAAATTCTGAAATATGTTAGTACTGTTGTTATCTGGAAGACAATGATGTCAGATTGCATGCAGATTTATAACATTTTTAATGATTTTTTTTAAACTCAAGAAGCCAGAGTAAAAGATTTAGTTTTTCCAAAAAAAATAATTGATAATGAAAAGAATAAAAGTAAGACGTTAAAAATAGACTGCAGCCATTATTGCTGTATCAATAAAAATAAATGATGTTAATAAATGGCAGTACCATGAATAACAAGTAATCTAACATTAAATCACGGCTATGTTTCATTTGTGGTAGTTAATAATTCAACATTATTTCTTCAATTATGAGATCACAGAATCTAACTCATCACCGGATTTTAACTTCCCACAAGCAAATAGAAGAGTGCCATTATGTGAACAGACACTACTTGCCCTTCAGGAGAAACTAAGTGCAATCCCGATGTTTCGTGCTAATTATTTGTTTGTTTTCTGTACAGTGTTGTTTGTCTGTTCGTATATCCTTTAATCATGGTGTTGTTTGTCTCTCCTCTGCTGATGACGTTTGATTGCTGCATATTCCCCCTTTTTAAAATTTCTTATACATGACTAAATTTTTTATTGAAATTGATTTGCAAGTTTGTTGTAGATTGTGTTCTTAATCCTGGAAATCCAGAATAATTTGTTTTGCCTGACCTTCAGATAGTAGAACTTTTATGTTGAACTTTTGCCCTTTGTAACAATATTAGTCCCTAAAACATTGTCACTTGTGACTGATTAAATTAAGCTTGATTGATGTTTTGAACCATGTTTCTCTTAAATGTTCCTAGGAAGACAAACTTTGTCAATAATTGTTGACTGAATCTCTCTCAGGAAGGAATGCTAATTATTGCACTTTATTCTTGGTAACTCTACAATTTACATTCACTTATTTCTGTCATTGTTATACTAAGGATGTTTGTGTGTACCAGTTATTGTGCTTCCTATGGAACTTTTGTAATTATGATAAATCAGTTGGTTTTAAATCAAATTTGACAGTTTGAGTCATTTCGGTGGTCATGAATTTGGCAACTAATGCCCATATACATCGGGTGTAATCAAAATAACATATATATATATATAGGAAAAAAGTCTTTTTATCTTAGAAATAAATACAGAAAACCAATGGAGCAGCCATAAATCCTAAATCCAGGAAGTGCAGACAATGGTCAAAAACAATTAAATGAAAAGGCAAACGATCAGAACAAATCGCAAAACATTTCACTAAAAATAGGAGAACTTTAATTTTAGCAACAAGGAAACCACATAAAACAGTTGGTGCTTTGGAAGTCTAATCAGTTAAAGCCTTATTATGTCATTCTTTCCAACATATGTGGAGAAGCAATTGTTCATCCATGAAGGATACCGTAAGAAGTTATTTCATTTTTCATTAGAAACCTAGGCCTATTTCAGTGGCTTCTTGTACCTAGTTTAAACTCTTAATACCAACTTATTTTCGAGGATACTTTTTTGTGTTTACTGAGCCCATTCTAGCTGACTTAGCTTTCGGGAATTTCTAACTTTGTTGATTTAATTATATCAGAGCATATCTCAGTTTCACGTATTCGCGACAATTTATTTTCTCTTTCTGTTTATTCTGAATCAATATTTGGAACCTTTTTTAATGATTGGTGCTTTTACCATGTCACCAGTCTTTGACAGATAATAGTAAAGTTGTGTTAATACATTAAACCGATTGGAACTCGTGTCATTCAACTGATGAGTTGACATGAATTTTTTGTTTTGTTTTGTTTTGTTTTGTTTTGTTTTGTTTTGTTTTGTTTTGTTTGTTTTGTTTGTTTTGTTTTGTTTTAAAATTGAGAATGGAAATGGGGAATATATCAAAGAGACAACAACCCGACCAAAGAGCAGACAACAGCCGAAGGCCACCAATGGGTCTTCAACGCAGCGAGAAAATCCCGCACCCGGAGGTGGTCCTCAGCTGGCCCCTAAATAAAATTGTGTACTAGTTCAGTGAAAATGAACGTCACACTAAACTCCAAAACATATAAATGAACTAAAATTAAAAAACATACAAGACTAACAAAGGCCAGAGGCTCCTGACTTGGGACAGGCGCAAAAATGCGGCGGGGTTAAACATGTTTTGTGAGATCTCAACCCCCCTCTAGCCAATGTAGAATAAAGAAACACATAGCAATACGCACAGTAAAACTCAGTTCAAAAGAAGTCCGAGTCCGATGTCAGAATAGGTAACAAAAGAAACTAAGCAAAATGACAATGATACATAAATTAACAAAGGACTACTAGCAGTTACTGACATGCCAGCTCCAGACCTCAATTAAACTGATTGAAAGATTATGTCTTCATCATATGAAAATCAAGTACAATCCCTCCCGTTAGGGGTTTAGTATCATACCATCATAAAATATATGAGAAGAACATAACCCGTATTGTTTTGTTTTGTTTTGTTTATTTGTTTGTTTGTTTGTTGTTTGCTGTTGCAATTGTTACAATTCAATCTGTATCGTTCTGTTATCAAATGAATTCAAAATTTTCCGAATATTGCGGAACATGAGTATCTTTGCGCCAGCTGATTTCGTGAATCCAATTTAAAAAACAGTCAGTCGGAAATGTATGACCATTTGCTATTACTATAGTACGAGAAGAAGAATTTTACTAAGAGATCAAATTTAAGACTGAAAGATCACAGCCAGATAACATTTTTTTAGACTATCTGTCATGAATGATAAGAATTTTACCCGAAAATTACATATTTAGGAAACTTCCAGTTTTACCTTGACTAAAGCCTCTACCTCTCCTATTCGACATTTGAATTTAAAATGTGAAAAAGTATCCCAGGAAAACGGAAGTATGTATTTTCATACTAAAACATTTTATTTTGTCTTTGTAATGCGATGTTAACACATAGTCTAGTCGGATTACGATCGTGACTACGTCATGACAGACTCTGCTGTATTTCATCAAAATCATTACCATGTCCTGTGTTGTATGAACGGTGTCTTGGCGGTGTCCTGTTGAACGGGCATGATCTGGAGAAATTTTTCATTCTTTTTCTTGCCGATTGAGTCCAGATTGCGTCCATATCTTGCCAAATGTCTTCCGTCTGTGTCGGTTCACTGTCTGCTCAATGTCTTATCTTCGGCGGATCGCATTGGGAGAATCGATGTACTGTCTGGACAGATTCGATCCTTATTTAAGCCGGGGTCACACATTCACAATTTTTACTGCCATCCTTGATAGGACCATTCCCGATAAAAATTTGTCAAAGATCTGATCAAGATCCTGTGAATCGTCGCTAGAAATTCAAACTTTAACTAAAATTTGTAAAAACATTTATTTGATTACGACAGCAATCAGATATTGTTCAGGAAGCGTCCAAATTCAGCCGTTTCCAGCCGAATTTGTCCCGATTATCCCGTTGTTAATCCGTTTCTAATCCGATTTGTATTTTTCGCAAGGTTAAAAACGACCGAATCTGTCACGACATCGTCCCGATTCTGCCAAATGCGATCCGACAGAGACCAGACAGTGAACCGACGCTGACGGAAGATATCCGATAGAAAACCGTTTCATGTGATAGTCCCGTCCTATAAAAAAAATCGCCATATTCGGGATGATCCGGGTTCTGTCGGAACGCAATCCTATCACAGTTTGCTGTATCGCATTACAAACGGCTTTGTCTGGACTCAGTCGTATCGTGTTCTGTCATTGTCGGGACTCTGACGTAGGTATTATTGCCGAGTTTCGTATCAATAACGGGACTGTTCCGGAACAAAGATAGGTTGGTTCCCTCCTTAAAATATTCAGTATGCCTTCGGAATATACAAGTGATACAAGTATTGTCAAGATTTTCAATAACGGCCGGGTACCAGTCTAGAACAAAGACGGTTCGCATTCGGCAAGATCTAGATGCAATCTGGACTCAATCGCAAAAAAACAGCAATAACATTTTTTTCTCCAGATCATGCCCGTTCCACAGGACACCGTCCAGAAAACACAGAACATTGTTACGATTTTGATCCGATACAGCAAAATCTGTCACGACATAGTCACGATTGTAATCCGACTGGACAAAATCGGCAGAGTTTCCCCGAATGTTACGGGACGCACCTAACTGTCGGGGGTTCACTAAGATAAGATTATAAGTATCTGCAAATGATGTTCAGTTAAGCCTCAGTCACACATTCAGGATTTTTATTGCTGCCCTTGATAGGACCATTCCCGATTAAAATTTGTCAAAAATTTGATATAGTATTCATATTATAAAAAAGAATGATGAAAATGAAATAAGATGTATAATCATTAATAAACTAAATACACAATCATCACAAAATATAACTTAATAACATCACTTAATGTCAATGCATAAAATACAATGTCTCTCAAACAGATTTCAGCTCTTTCGACACATCCATGGTTACACACATTGATTGATAATGCACTTTACTGTATATGTTGATTGATACCCAGAAAAGTTACAAATGTTTTGGATAAAGTATGAAAGAGTTGACAGTTGACGTACATTTCCTGTAGAGTTTCAAATGAAATACATGTACAACAGTCATAATCGAGAAATTACCAAAATTGTAAATTGTAGACAAACTAAAACATGATCATTAATATTCATTTCATGGTGTTTACATTGTATTGTAATAGTAAATACTGGCATTGCACGTTGTTTGTCATGCAGTGAAGATATGTTTACTCTCCACAAGTCAAAGTTTAGTCATATTTTGTTTATAAAATTATTGTTTTTTCTACCAACGCAGTGGACGCCAAGTGTTTAATGTAAATCAATCTAAAAATAGTTTAAACTTGCACAATTATTTATGTTTCATTGAAATTTGAATAAAACTGATCATGCTAACTTGATTAAACTTTTCTGAATTTATCTCACGTGTGTTTTCAATTTATTTAAAGGAAAATCGAGTATTCCCAGAATGTCAGTTCAAGGGAAGTTCATTTCGTTGTTATTGAATTAAAAGACAAAGACATCTACAATTCGATGTTTACTCAACAAATTTCCTCCAGAGTGACGAATTATATTGATAGCAAGTGTCAGGCAATTTCTGCTCAAAATTATTTTGTTCACAAGTAATAAAACAAATTCGTTTTGTCAAACATGTTCTAATATTATTTATAAATAATATATAAGTAAAATACTAGTCAAATGTCAAATTCCAACTTTCATTAAGGTTACCTCTTAGCCATGTTATATATTCAATTACTCACTAAGGGATAATTTTCATGCAATTTGTATGTTTATTTAAGCAGTTTTTTACTTTCCTTCTACAACTCTCGTAGTACATATACAGTGAAACCAAAGCTCCTATTTTGACATGATATTATTCCTGATGAAGGAAAATCCTGAAAAGCGCATTGGTTGCACGAAATGCATAACGTGTTATGTTCCTTTTTTGTAATCTCCTTTTCTTTAAACAGATATACAAACATTCCTGTTTGAATGGTTTCATACTAATCATTTTTGGGGCCCTTTATAGCTTGCTGTTCGGTGTGAGCCAATGCTCCGTGTTGAAGGCCGTACTTTGACCTATAATGGTTTACTTTTACAAATTGTTACTTGGATGGAAAGTTGTCTCATTGGCACTCATACCACATCTTCTTATATATATGGATGGAGAGTTGTCTCATTGGCACTCATACCACATCTTCTTATATCTATATACATGTATGACACATTATACAGAAAGCGGTCAAACATTTTTGTCCAGTGCAAACTGTAAAATAAAAGTCTGTTTCATACCAAAGGACTATTGAAAACAAAAACCAAATCTGAAACTTCTTAATGATTTAAAAATACTATCTGGCATTTTAAATGATTCCGAGAAGAATTATACCTACATCACCTTTACTAGATATTATATATAGTTGGTTCGCGTCTTTAAAACAGTTACCTGTAACTGATAGAATTATAATCAATCAAATCTCATTATGTCATTACTACACATGTTTTACATGTCATTACTACACATGTTTTACATGTCATTACTGCACATGTTTTACATGTCATTACTACACATGTTTTACATGTCATTACTACACATGTTTTACATGTCATTACTACACATGTTTTACATGCCATTACTACACATGTTTACATGTCAATACTACACATGTTTTACATGTCATTACTACACATGTTTAACGGTCGCCATCACGAATGTGTAACGCAAATAATGGTAAATTCCCAACGTGCGTCCTCTCCTTCCAACAAGTCTTGAACAATATTTCTGAAAAAAAAATATCCTTATAAAAAAATAGCCCACTTTACAAGTTTGATAGCAGTTTGTATTGTTTAATTCTAAGTCTTAATCGTTCCTTGAACGTTTTTTAAAATGTTTAATTGGTCCGAGAACACATCGTCCTTTGAAATATAGTCTCTAGTGAGGACAGTGTATATATTGCAATTTTTTTCATACACTTTCCAAATTCATTTCTTTATATTTTATGCATGAAATGTTAAGTAAGAGGATGACATTACATGTTAAACTGATTTGGGTGATGAATTTTTAAGTAAAGTAGTGATTTGGTCCAGTTAAAAAAGGTCACCATAAACTTGTTATGCCGTTTTAAATTGATTTATCTACACAATGGTGTATAACACACCTACCTTTGTTGTCGGAATCATTCGTAGCAGCCTCCCCAAGTATGTCAACCGTAATTATTTCGTCTACCCACAGCCGATTGGAGATATAAGACTCGCATTAAATGATTAATAATAAAAAGTAATTCTAAAAAAAACTGTACGTTAGTTTTTGTTTGAATAGAACTTATCATCCAGATAGTAAATTTGTAAAAGATTCCTTGAAAAAAAAATCGTGTTATTTGAGGTATGTCTAGTGAGTTACGAGTTTCTATTTTTAGACTCAAATTTTCCAGTTCCATCAATGTCATTCAGTCTCTCTCTCTCTCTGGACTTTACATATAAATGAGATAATTCCAAGAAACATTTATTTTAGCAATTATTATAGACCTTCCCATAAAATTTGACAAATCGGAAACCGAGATATATATAAGAGAGGGAAAAGATACCAAAGGGACAATTATAATTAACCATTTACTGCATGCGAGTCTTATATTTCCAATCGGCTGTGGGTAGACGAAATGATGGTCTAGCACCTCATTATCCATCTGATAAATTTACTGCATGTACTGACCTGTATAATGATTCGCTCAGGTCAATATTCATGGTTTTTAAGGTCTCAGGGAAGATAAACATGTCATAATTAAACGAGTTATCTGCGTTAAATTATTATTATTATTATTATTATTATTATTATTATTATTATTATTATTATGTTCAGGTGATATTCACACCTTTATTTCCTGTAATTGATGACATATAATCACTGCGACTGATCGATAATATAAGACAAATCTACGTGTCGTGTGCAAATTCTCGTCTGTCCTGTCATAGACCTAATGGGTAACTGTTCAAATCTTTGAAATATTTGTCAGAGTTCGTATAATAATCAGAAAATAACGGGATATAAAATCGACCGGACTATAAAAAATGATGTACCTCAATTACTGTAATAATAAAAATCTTGGTATTTTTAATCACCTTAGACAAATGACCAGTGATTCGTAATATATTTCTGTGCAATAAACATGTGAATTTATCTAAAAATTGTTTAAATTTCATATTTTTTATCCCAACCACATTTTAGTTGAGTATTTACTTCCAATAGTAACTACATTTATTTACAGGCTATGGTAGATGCATGAAAAAGCAACAAAAATTAAAAAAGTAATATACATTATTATTGTTGTTGGCAGATTGTTGAGAGACACGGTTAACTTTACGTACTACTTTTTCTAGTCTACGTTAGAGCTTGCCATGTTGTATAGACACTTGTCTCAATATTGAAGACTGTAAGATTGATTCTTGTTGTCTATATAAAAAAGAAGATGTGGTATGATTGCCAATGAGACAACTCTCCATCACAAGAGACCAAATGACACAGAAATTAACAACTATAGGTCACCGTACGGCCTTCAACAATGAGCAAAGCCCATACCGCACAGTCAATGACAATGTAAAACAATTCAAACGAGAAAACTAACGGCCTAATGTATGTACAAAAAATGAACGAAAAACAAATATGTAACACATAAACAAACGACAACCACTGAATTACAGGCTCCTGAATTGGGACAGGCACATACATACAGAAAGTGTTGGTTTTTATGTGTCACTGGATTTCTGTCTTATTCACGCATATCCCACATAATCTCTTATGTATTTAAAATAAAATATAAAAGGAAGTAATATAAAAAAACCTCTTGGCAATATTGTGTCTCCTTTAATTGCACTGGACAAATATACTTAAATTTTCCTAATTCGGTATGTACTAACAATGATGACTTTTTGTGTTTAACAAAGCTTGATATCATCAACCATAAACATCCCGCCAAGTATTACGTATTAAGGCATATTGCTCAATTAAGATAGAAATGATTTTTAGTTCTATGGATTTTGAATAGTTATTCAATGAAATATTATGTGGTATTATAAAGAAATAGCAACAAATCGGTTATGAAAAGTGTTTAATTTGACCTCTCGTTCGCTTTGTTGCATACTTATTTTATAATGTATTTTCCTTATCCAATGGGCGATGCAAGGGATGTGGTTTTTCTCGTTAATGAAATTATTGATTTACATGAACTACATATATAAGATAATTTCCTGTAGAACTATTATACTTCCCACTACTCAACCACTGATTGTGGAACTTTGACAAAAGGTAAGTTTATTTTGTTATTGCATGTATCAAACGTTTTAACTATTGAATATGATTGTTTTGTGTCATGTCATTAATAAAATAACTTATTAAAATCCAAAAATCTCAAAACCAACTCCTTTTTCGATATCAAAATTAAGTTCGGTTCTAACCATCTTTGCCATGATTAGGTTATATCTTTATCATATCGTATTTTTGTATTACAGCAACCTAGAGAATAAAAGGCTTATGCACAAATAAGGGTTTTCATGGGTTTTTTTTTAAAGATAACTTAACTATAATGGTATACCAGTAAAGTACTTTGTGCTGTTGTTTGAAGATAAATTGAAAAGTTCAATATACAATGAGAATTTTCGAAAAAAACATGCAATTTATAGTACTGTTTTCACCTTTGTAATGTATAAAACTAAACAGAATTAATTATAATATATACATGTATCTAGTCAGACTTCTTCCCATGTTTTTGAACGGGTCCAAATTTTTCAAACAAGTTTCTTTGTTTCCTTTCAGACATGGCGTCCACTCGTCAGAGATCCGGCAGTCAAGGAGCAGCATCGAATGAGGTACATTATAGAATTGTTGTACTCGGAGCTGCTGGTGTAGGCAAGTCATCCATCATATCACAGTTTTTATACGAAAGGTTTAACAGTGAATATAAAGAGACAGTGGAGGAATTACATCGAGGACAGTATAACATCGGTGGTATTAAACTGACATTAGATATTCTTGATACTGCTGGACATAGAGAATTTCCCGCCATGAGAAAGTTAGCGATAACGACAAGTGATGCATTCGTTTTAGTGTATTCAGTAACGGACATGACTTCATTTGATGAGGTACAAAAACTACGAGAAGAAATAATATCTCAGCGTGGTAAAGTGCCCATAGTTATAGTCGGAAATAAAGCTGATATAAACACTGATGTGTCGACAATGGACACAGAAACAATTGAATCAATAGCTTGTGTAGACTGGGAATCTGGCTTTGTACAAGCTTCAGCTAAGGAAAATACGAACATTGTAGGAATTTTTCAAGAACTGTTACGGCTGTCTAAATTTTCTAATTCATTTAGTCCGGATTTATTACGGAGACGGATGTCTATGCCAGCTTCACTTTCATCTCAATCTCTTGTTAAAAGACAAAGTTGTGTAATATCATGAAACCATTGTTTACTTTCGCTTACGTTTTATATATATTCATTTGCAATAATAAAGAATATTAAGGCTTAACAGTTTTTGTTTACCATATACAGATACATAAGCATACTATACCAAACGTAAAGTTTAATCTTTATATTTCAGAGATTTAACTTCAGCTAGAAACCTATGAAATGCTCGTCAAAATAAACAGTCGGGGTTGATAATTTTTTTTAACTATTTTAATACAATACATATAGCTTCCAGTTGTATAGTAAAATACTACAAATATAATACATAATGCGTGTGCCTTGAAAATTACCCGTTTTGCTAAATGTTCTAAAATACTTTTAACATCGAGTTGAATGGGTTTTAAATAGAAAAAAAGAACATGAGGTGAATGATGAACATAAAAATGCATTCCAATATTGATGTTCTTCGTAGTCTTAATAATTTAGATTCTTATGTCTTATGTTATCTCGTGTCCTAATAAAAATGTATAAACTAGTGTAATATAGGTACTGAACATTATATTACGAATAAAGATCACATTTGCATCGATGTGATAAACCATGTGTGTGGTTTTTTAAAATTTTTTATTTGCTTTTTATCAAAATCCTTCGATTTTGTGATCAACAGAGAAAATAGTCCTTGTGATAGTTCATAAGTAGTTAATTAAAATAATTATAAATGTATGACATTTCACAGATAACATTTTACTCTTGCTTATATAACTTAAACAAAAATATTTATAACATGTACCGTCTGTGATTTCTATGGAATTAAAACTGACGACGTGATTAGTGAAATGCACCAAGTGGCGAATCACACAAATTGAATCAGCACTCAATAATGCTGTAGATTAGATTTGCTATTATGTGTTAACTTAGATCGTACTGCAACTCTGAACTTGTTGCAAATGATAACGTCTAATTCTTTTATTGGTAATACTATGATTTTAGGTAGGTCTATATGGGTCAACAATGTCTATTGTTTATTGTCTATTGTCACATTAACCTGTTATGTCTGTTTACGTTGCTTACCCAATTTTGTCAATATAACGAAACTATAAACAACTGTCATACAAGTGAGAAGTTTAGCTAGCTATAAAACCAGGGTTAACCCACCATTTTCTTCGGGAAATGCCTGTACCAAGTCAGGAATATGGCAGTTGTTTTTCTATTATTCCGTTCATTGATAACGTTTGATTTTGTCAGTGTTTATGGACATCCCTTTTTTGAATTTGCCTTGGAGTTCGGTATTTTTGTTATACTTTTATTTGTAAAAATGCAAATAATTAACTTTCTCTAAAAAAATTATATTGTGTTATAACATGCATTTGAAATTAACAATGGATATAACATCATTAAATCAAAGAAAATGCAATTTTTCAATAAAGAAGACTGATATTAATTATATATTACATAAATTATCAAAGCGATGTACGAGTAACACATCGGACTCACATATAACAGATACTTATTTGTCTTTTCGGGGCCTTTTATAGCTGACTATGCGGTATGGGTTTTGCTCATTGTCGAAGGCCGTACGGTTACCTATAGTTGTTAACATCTATATCATTGGTCTCTGGTAGAAAGTTGTCTCATTGGCAATCACACCACTTCTTCTTATTTTTATATACACATAACTTAATGTTAAAAAGATGAAAAACGGTAAACATATTTCTTGGACAACGAATTCTGAATTTCCCATTTTAAACATAAATGATATCAAGCAATCTTGAAAGTTGTGCATATACTTTTTTATGAAGCATGTGTCATATTCCCCAGCAGTCGAATCAAATACATATATTTGTCTGAAGGAAAATGCTGTCTTGTATATTGGGCTCTATATATTTTTTAATCAGTTGTATCGTTGGGTGGATGTCTCATATATCCACACCATTTTACCCAGTTAATAAAGCCAGCAATTGCAGCCAATGCTTGCAGTCATTAGAGAGACAATAGTCTCGTTGAAGGGAAGTAACTCTTGACCACGATCACAAAAACTGCGTAATGAAGTTACCAATGCAGATGGAGTTTAGTCGTGACTAATAACTCTGTATGGAAGGAATCAATCGATCGGACATTTCTAGAGATAACGTGAGCATAAAAAGAAACAAAAACTGTCTTATAATGATATAAGTATAATAAGTAATGGAAGTTGTTGCAGACAAACAAATTTAACAATGTTAATGGTTCACATCACAATGCAAAGCTATAAATAAACTCACCATAGATACCAGGATTGAAATTGTGTATTCCAGACGCGTGTTTCGTCTAAAAAAGACCCATCAGTGACACTCGAATAAAAAAAGATAAAAAGTCCAAACGAAGTACGAAGTTGAAGAGCATTGACGACCAAAAATTCCTAAAAGTTTTGCCAAATAAAACTAAGGTAATCTATTCCTGGGATAGAAAAATTCAAAGTTTTATAAACAGTTTATTTATAATTATGACTGTATCAATGATAATTCATGTCAACACAGAAGTGCTGACTCCACCAGCAGTGGCACCGACCCAGTGGTCGTAAATAAACTCATCATAGATACCAGGATTGAAATTTTGTTACAGACGTGCGTTTCTTCTGAATAAAGACTCATCAGTAACATACGACATACACACTATCTTTAAATCATTACTTAACTAAAGTTAGATGTGATTGGTTTCTAATGATATGGCTAAGATTTTATTGGTTTAAACGAGTTATAGAGTTGCGACCATATCACAGAGAGGGGAAGAAAATAATATACGGAAGATTGGAATCCGAATTGAATAAAATAACAGTAGGTACAAAAGAGAGGCGAAAGATACCAAAGGGACATTCAAACTCAAAAGTCGAAAATAGACTGACAACGCCATGACAAAGAGAGGCCAAAGATACCAAAGGGACATTCAAACACATAAATCGAAAATAGACTGACAACGCCATGACAAATGAAAAAGACCAAAAAGACAAACAACAATATACAAAACACAACACAGAAAACTTAAGACTTAGCAACACAAACCCCACCAAAAAACCGGAAGTAATCTCAGGATTCTCCGGAAGGGTAAGTAGATCCTGCTCCATATGTGGCACCCATCGCGTACAAACCCGGTGATAAGTCTAATTCTGTAGGTCTCATTCGAGGAAAGGGAGAACGGGATAGTGGTCACGATGATTGGGACATATCCGTCGTCATCTGTGAAACAGATTTTCCATAATGGTCAACCATTTCGTGATGGCGTCCGTAAAAATTTCGAAGGGATGATTTCAACTTTACCACTTGGAACTCTTGGTTTAAAAGCTCCCTTGTGAGCAGCAACACTCTATCAAGGAAATCATGACAATCTAGACACAATCGATGAATATATGGCTATATGATCAAGTCGGATTCACGTTAATAATGAGTGCTGTTGCCTGAGGGTTAGTCAAAATTGATACATCGCTTTGTACTTAAGGTGACGATGAAGAAATTGTAGAATGTTGCATCGATGAAGAGAGAGAAAGAGAGTTATCAAGTACACCATCAAGTATGCTTTTTGTTGAGGATCATGTTGATAAAATATGATTCATTTTACATGTTTTATTTATCGAAAATTTTGCATCAAAGAATATCGTCAGCTAAAATGAACCAATTTGTATCTGAAAGACGTTTGAATTCTTCACTTCCGATAAAATTTGTTCTAGGCTAATCTCCTTATTTATTTTGTATATATTCTAAAAACAAAAATCCACAATCTTTCTAAATTGCAATTTTGATCCCCTTTTAAGCATTTTAATTTGGTTAAATCTTCAGAAATATTAACATATGATTGTTACAACTTCAAACTATGCACACGATGATGTCTCCAAGGATGCTGTAATGCTGGAAATTTTAGTAAAGATTGGAAGATATTTCTGAAACTGATCTTGGTTTGAAATAAATTAAGGTGGAATGAGACCTACCTCTCAACATATATTTGGTCATATGACTCTTCATGTGTTTCGGTACTTATACATCCTTGGCTTTCAACTATTCTACTTTAAGTGTTCTTGATGAAGGTAAATCTGTAAGAGCGCGTCGGACGCATACAATTTACAAAGTGTTGTTTTCATTGTTTTTAATATATTTCATCATATTATGATGATCAATGTTCTTAAATTGATGACATTCTATGACAAATGGACTCTGAAAACATTTAGAATGGAATAACTAATGTGAGATTTAGTCAATGATTGCTTTTCTCTTAAATGCACAATTATCGCTTTTCTTGCTATTTATAAATCATTGAAAAGAGAATGTAACAATGCAATAATTTGTCAATATACCTCAGGGATTGAAGCTTTATTTTCAGTCTGGTTTTTTGTTAGCTGTTTCTGTCATATACATTGGAAAGTGTAAGATTGATTGTTTCGCACTGGTTCATTTTACCAAAGATGTAATGAATCATTAAACCCTCGAGATTCGTCGTTTCAAAGTATTAAAATCATAAACATTAACTATTTCATTATATTCATAAATTTTGTACAGATTGTATGTAACATTTTTTTTTATAAATCCGGAAGACTATCAATAACATTAACGGTGCCATTTTACTGCAATAGATGCGCATTTCGCCATTTAATGTCTCTTAATGATATTCAACCTCTCAAAAGATTTCTAGATAATACTAGTAATGGAAAGCTGAAACCAAGATAACCGTAATTAAACATGAAATTAGAATCCTGGGAATAATACACAAACTACGCATACAAATACACGAACTAAACAAGAGACACCCCTTGGAGCTTTCGATAATTACACCAAAAATTTCATTGGGATAGGTTACCTTAAAAAGTACATCAAACAACAAACAATCAAAGTGTAGACGATATTATCGTATTATCAATACAATTATAAGCCAAACAATCGCAGCAAGTATGTATCGTAACAATAACAGACTACCAAAGTATAGATGATGTTATCGTATTGTGTCGTTTTATTACTGGCTTCTGGTAGAATGTTTTCGAATCTCTAGTGGAGTAGGGTCTCCTTACCTTTCCAGAGCACCTAATTTCATTCCTGATTTTTGGTAAGGTTAGAATCCGGGGATAATACGAATGCATCAAAATACTTGCATATAAACAAGGGGAGACACAAACTACCCTTAAAGCTTTTGATAATCCAACCAAACATTTCATGTGGATAGGTTACCTTAAAAAGTAAAACAAACAAAACAATCAAAGTGTAGACGATATTATCGTATAA